GTCATATTCACATTACAACTGGAGCAGGGGCATTGTGAAGAAAACAATGATCCCTGATGCCAAAACTTGTGTTTGCCTGAGGGACACTAAAAAATCCAGATTAGAAAATGGGGGGGGGGATCCTATTCACAATAAAAATGCTATCATCTTTATTTTATAATATCCTGGAGAAACAGAAAAGGAAATGCTCTGTGATAGATATTAAAGGAGATGGTATAATGAAGTATAATGCTATTTAATAGTCAAATAATTGAACGGTATTCTTGCATTGCTTCACTTATCCTGGGTCAGAATAAACCAGGTCAGATCTCTTTTGTAGCAGAGAGACTGTCCTCAGGAATGAGGAATGGGAGGCTATTTTCCAGGAGTGCTGCCAACACAGATCTATTTCTTCTTAGTAAGAAAATACAATTTGGCTGATCCAAGAGTCAATGGAATGGTGATCATTTCTGCTATCACATGCACTGGATAATATTTACCAATGTTGCTATAATAAAATTGAGGAAAAGGATGAATCATTTAATTAGTCTGAGCCATCTGCCAGGTAGGACAATGATTTTCAACAAGCTCCAGAGCTTTAAATCTGATCAGCTGCCCTATGTAGGATGAGGGCCACCACATAGTCCTTGCATATGCCCAAGAACTGCCACTCTGGGTGCAATCCTATAGGCACTTTCTTGTATTACCAATTGCCTGTGGATGCCAGTGAATGAAAGAAGGTAGTCTAGTCTGGGGTATGGGTGGGCAAGGAAATCAGAATGGTGCCAAAAGCAAGAAACCTGGGGGGAGAGTTAATATCCCAGATAAAGCTCTGGGAAATGGCAATTTGAGCTTGAAGGCACCAGTTTCCAACAAGTGAAGAAAGAATCACTGGCCATACCATATGTCTCAGTAAGGCTAGCCTATGCCCCAGGCAAGGGAACAGGGTCCTATGTGCTCCTGATCAGGGGTATCTAAGAACTGAATATTCAGTTGAGGTTGGGCTCAAATTCCTGCCTCTCCCAAAAGCCTTGATCTCAGTCTTATAATATGCCACAATTGACCTCTAAGGCTGAATTACAGGTAGTCCTCAGGTTATGACGGCAATTGGGACTGGAATTTTCGTTGGTAAGTAATGTGGTCGTAAAGCGGGATGTCACATGATGGCATCACTTCATGATGGCAATTCCAGCAGTCCTGGTTCCCGTTGTTAAGTGAGGACCATGTGGGTCATTAAGTGAAGATCTAATGTGATTGCAACTTCTAACTACCTGCTGGCTTCCCTATTGACTTTGCTTGTGGAAAGCCAGGAGGGAACATTGGAAATCATGATCATGTAACTGTGGGGATGCTGGTTGGCCAGAACTATGAGGACCCATTGTAAGTCTCCTTCGTTCAGCGCTGTCATAACTTTGAATGGTTGCTGAATGAATTTGTCGTAACCTGGGGACTACCTGTAGAATGATGATTGACATGTCATTCTCTGAGCAGCTGGCTGCATTTCTGTCCAGATGTGGGACAGGGAGACTTATTTTTTATTTCTATCCAGACATCTCATCCCACCCAGACTTATAAGAAGAGTTTAAAATGGTTACCTGCCAAGGTTAAGGTTTGGAACACAGAACAACATATGGTCTGGCAGGGGAAACCTGGTAAAATAATTCATCTCCTGCCCTTTGTGTACACCAAATGACAGGGAGGAACCTCATAATTTCAGAGAAAAGGGTCTGTCTGAAAGCAACAGGGAGTAGGCAAGTGTTTGAGTTATTCCACTTAAGACTCCAGAAGGAGCTATATATGATCAAAAGCCCTGCGCTTACAAAAGAAAAGTCTAAAGTAGTTAAGTGTTACTTATGCCATTCTGATACATTTTTATTCAAGGACAATCTAAAGTTGTATCGATGTAAATAAATAAGTGCAGCTTGTAAGAAAAAAAATGGACACTTGACCATATACTTTTTTTCTTCCACTGGCTCAACAATATTTTAAAACAGGAGTATGCAACTTTCTGTAGGCTAAAGATCACACTTGGTTTTTCAACAGATGTTAGGACTGCAAAAGAGTGAGTGAGAATAAGACAAAATATTAAATGGGATCTCATTGATTGGCTTAAATTAGGTGTAATTAATATAACCACTTTTTCTGTTCTGTCACATTGAAAATGACAGTTGGTAACAATAGTTGGTAATCTCTGAGTGCTGCACTAAACCTTTACAGCAAATGGCCTGGGGTCACAAGTTCTGTATCTCTTTAAAACAAAGAAAACACTTCACAGAAAATAAAGCAGAATGTTTACTAGTCCGTAGGCTAACTGTCTACCTCCTGCCACCCTAGCAGACAGAGTTGTCAGGTCTCTCCCTTCCTTCTGCATGTAAAATGAGAACAGTCCTATGTAATGGTGAGGAAGAATTAGTGCACTATTGGGAAGGTCTGGAGCAGAGACAATTAATTCACCTAAGGTTACATTACTAACTAAGGACAATTGGAATTAGTTTGGTGGTTTGATGGGATGGCAAGGGTGCCAGTCTGTATAGATCTGATAGAGGACAGATTTGGTTGTTTAGCTTTTGGGTTACAAAAAAGGGTTGCAAACAGTAAAGTTGGGAAAGTGCTATACCCCTACACTTTCACGTTGCATGAGAATAGTAATAATATCTGGGGCAATCAGATTTATTAATTGTATTTTGCCTTTCATTGCAATAAAATGTGGCTTACTGTATAGTGGAAATTGCACAACAGTTGCACACAGTTGCTGCTGTGCAGATTTACCTGACAACAAGTTCTGGGCTTAGCCATGCTTACTGCTCTCAGCAAATGAATACTGGACTGCCACTACACACATTCCGTTAGGAAATATCAAATAATCATTATGGTTCATTTTTAAAGGTAAGTAAAACAATTGCTTATTGAATTATAATAATAAATTATTATATCTGACCTCTCTGCAAGTTTTTCAGCAATGTGGTGGGAAGTGGGAAATAACAGAAGAAAGAAGTGCTGCCCATATTTTTTATCTAGACAGTGATAAAATCCTTTTGAACTAGACCTGGAACACTTTTTTCCCACAATGTGTAAATGTTTGAAAAGGACTTTTTGACTGAAAAATTCTGCACAACCCAAACAGATACCTCTCACATCCTAAATAATTACTCTGGAACCAAAACTGTAATAATCTACATACATATTTCTTAATTCCAGCAAGATGTGTACTTGGATCCTGTGCAGGCTTACACATCCACTACATTCAACTAGGCTTATTCTCAACTGAGAGCACGGTGACTGTACTTACAGTAATATTTAATTCATCAGGCTATTTCTGAACATGGGTCACTGGCATGGAGATGGGGTACAGGATGAAGCATGAGAGAACAACTGATAATAAACTAGTTCCATCCTTGACTAGTGCTGGCAGTGAGTGACTGCGGTTGGCAGGATCTAGAAGTAGCCCATGGAGTAGGCACAATGACATGAATTAAACATTTATCCCACTTCTTCTCTAGGAACTTCAGGCAATGTAGTTAAAACTCCCTCCTTCATTTTACTTATTTGATTTATAAGGCCACCCATCTTACCACATAAAACTCTGGGTGGCTGATGCCACATAAAAATACAGTACAAAATAACCATCAATAAACAACAATATAAAAAGCCTATGAAGGCTCATTTCCCTCCATCACAAGCCATTGAGGTAGATTAGTGATTCTCAGTGTGAGTCAAATGCCCCCCCTTTGGGGGCTATGCCATATTTCTGAGGAGGACACCCAAACTTAACTTCCCGTCAAATGATCAGTTTGTCATAATCCTCACATCTCATTCTCTACGCTAATTTCAACACTATGAATGTTGAAAATTATTATAGTTTATAATAAATATCGTAATGAAAAAGGCTGTTTGTAATAAGCAGACTTTTATATTCATTAGAAAAAAGAGAGCCAGTTTCGTGTAGTGGTTAAGGCACCAGGCTAGAAATGGGGAGGCTGTGAATTCTAGTCCTGCTTTAAGCATGAAGCCAGCTGGGTGACTTTGGGCCAGTCACCCTCTCTCAGCCCTGGGAAGGAGGCAAGGGCAAACCACTTCTGCAATCTTGCCAAGAGAACCGCAGGGACATGTCCAGGCAGTCACCAGCAGTCAACCCTGACCTGAAGCACAAAAAAACAAAACAAAAAAACACCCCTTTTCCCAGCTAACAGTGACTATGGGGGGGGGGGGAATCACAGAAGTAAAGAAGCTCAGAAGGGGCCCATGAGCAAACAAACAAACAAGCAAAAAAAAGGTTGGGAACCCCTGAAAGTTGATTGTGTGGAGAAATATGACTGGCTCAGTCACCCAGTGAGCTCAGTACTAGTCTGCACCACCCAGGGTGGTCATCTTTATCATCCTTCTAATCTCCAAATGCCTTCTACATTATTTCTCATTAATTATCATGCATCTTATCATAATTAAACATGTGGATCTCTGGGTGATCTGCAGCAGATCAAGAAGGATGGGTGGCTCCCAGTTTCATTTTGTTTTGTTTTAACAAAAAGAAGCAACAAATGATTGTCCCAGCCAGAATGACACTGATGACTAACCAGGAGTTTATTTTTGTCTGCAGGATCTGCGGGCTCCGAGTCTGCTACTTAGAAGCAGCAAGTACTAGGCTCAATATGAGTCAAGTGCATTTCATTTATACCCGACTCCCGGGTTCGAGTGAAAGACAACCCCCTGGCTGAAGACGGCCTCTTCTGCACTACATCAACCGGCGGCTGCTTGCTCCACTAAGTCGGAGGCAGAGCCCCTTTCCCCTTCCAACTCCAGCTTGCCTCTTTAAGGCCTGGAGCCTCCAGCGCTGCGCACCTCTGAACCCGGTGACTGACAGGCAGCCGCCCGCGGGGGGAGGGGGATCGGCGATGGCGAAAGCGGGGAGGAGTTGTCGGCGGCGAGCGGCGGCCAATCAGGAGGGCGAGGCGCCCTCTCGGCTCTCTCATCAGCACCACCCATCTGCTCGCCTCTTCTCCCTCCCGCCTTCCTTCCTTCCTGGCTGTGCCTTTTCTGTGTCAGTTTCAGGAGTCCTGAGCTTGAGCCTGAAACAAAGCAGGAGGCTGGAAAGGGGCTTTCCGGAGTTTGCCGAGGCACCGAGCTGAGGGGGAGGCTGCCTGCCTTGGCAAAGGCGTCGGGGAGCCGGGCTGTGCCTTTCGCCGCCAGCTCTGCGCAGCGCGAAGCTCCCTTTGGGGGGAGCATGTGGCTCGGGAGCGGGGGGGGCGGGGAGGGAAAGTTTGCTTGGCTCTTTCCCTCGCCTTTCAGATCGAGGCGGTTTTTCGCCCGTGGAAGACTAAGCGGTAGCTTGCCGACCGCCGACCGCCTCCGGCGCTGCGCTGTCGGCCACCTCAACAGCGAAGGGCGAGAACCTGGCTGGGACGGGGAGAAAAAGGAACAGCAAGAAGCGAGCCCGATCCGGCTTCTCGCCTTGATCCTGCTCAAGTGCGCCGCAGAGACTGGGGTTTCCTTGCCTGCTGGAGCCGACAGCCTCCTCGCAAGAATTCCGAGGGTGTTGTTTCCCTCCCCCCCTCTCTCCCTCCCTCCCTCCCTCTCTCTCGGAAGGGTTTGAGGTTCGTTAAGGGATAATACTCTTCTTTTCTAAAAACCCAGAGGAGAAAGGCAAGGCAGGAAGGCGAGCCAGGCAGTTGATTCCTCTCCCCCAAGAAGCGCGCTCCCGAAAAAGCTCCAGAAGGGGGGAAAAGAAGGGGCCCCGTCCGCGCCTAGCTTTGGGGATGGATGATCAGCCCAGGTTGATGCATTCCCACGCCGGAGTGGGAATGGCCGGCCACCCGGGCCTGTCCCAACACATGCCGGACGGGGCTGCGGGCACTGAAACCGAGGGGGGACGGAAACAAGACATCGGGGACATTTTACAGCAGATCATGACCATCACCGACCAGAGTTTGGATGAAGCGCAGGCCAGGTGAGTCCTTGGGTGATGACGACGACGACGATGAAGATGATACTTACGCGTATTTAACACGAGGGTCTGATCCAGGCAAATACTTGTGCTTTCGGTGGTTTCGTTAGCCTGCGGGAAACAAAGTAATCCCGAAGAAAATCGCATTTTCACTGGATGACTGTAATAGACTAAAACCGCCTTTTTACTAGGTCTTCAGAGAAAGAGAGGTTCCAAGGCACGGGTGATATTCTTGTGACTGCCTTTAGTTAAGTTAGACAAGGCTAAATAGCTAACTTGACTGGCTGGTTTGCTTTGGGAGCTGCAGCTTCCCCATGTGCTTTTGTTTGTAGTAGTTCACGAACTGAACGTCTCAGATAGCCAACTTAATTTGTATTTGATCCGAAAGAGAAGTTAAATCGTGTCATTTTCCCATTTGAACTGTAATATTTGAAAGATTGCGTTTTGGGTGTAATATCAGTCTACATCTGCTATCTAACAGAGGAGGCAAATAGGTTATTATATCAGCAGTTATTCCAAAGAAATTTTGAGTGGTTTTACCTTTTAAAAGAAATATGCAAATAGAGTGGCCTTAAAAAGGCTGGTGTTCTAATTTCTGTTTTTGAAATAGCAAAAAAGCAAAACCTTTCAAAGGCCTTGGTTGAAAGCTTAGTCCTTCCTTACAGCTCTTTAGCTACAGTCCAAAAAAACTTAAGCACACTTAATCCCATTGAAAATCAGTGGGCTTAATATCATTTAATGGTTGTCCCCTTTTGTGGCCCCTTTGTACAAACAAAATAATTTCCTTTCCTCTTGTGATGGCAAGTGTTGATGCTGCATTAGGAACTACATTTTTTCTATGGGTGATATTCAAAAGAATAAATATATATTTATAAAATAAGGAGTTGAGGCTATTAAGGAGCCTAGAAGCTAGTAGAATGCAGCCTCTAAATGTCGCTACCTTCACAAATAGATTTCCATTACAGAATGTGCTTCCACATATGAAACCACATGAATTCTCTATATGAAACAGGAGATCATAATTAAGACAAGTTATATATTTGTGCCTGTTACTAATTGTGCATATTATAGTATTTGACAATTTGTACAATACTTTTATCTTTAGCAATGCAGTTGTTCATCTTATCACACAAGTCACCATGTCAGTTTGTTTCTCACCAGACTGAATTTTGAGGAAAAGTATGTTTTTTTTTTAATTATCATTGTTAGAGTTATTTTGTAAAACTTCAGTGTAGGTAGTATTATAGTGTTACACTTCTAGTGTACATTTGTGTGTTTTAAAAATGGAGCTTCTTAAAAATACATATACACACAGTATATATAAGGATGGGATTCTGCACAGCACCCTCCTAGCACATTTCTGCAAAACCTTATCTAAAGTTACAAAAGGAAAAAAAACATATACATTGATTTACAGAACAGAGGATTGGAAAATAAAGGGAAACAGCTAGTAGAATAATCTTACCTATTAACAGAGAAAAGCTGTTAGCATTTTACTTTCACTCTGTGTGTATAATCCTTTCCACAATCACCTGGAATAGACTGCTAGAATCTATGTGTCAATGGTAAATTGCATATCTTACTTGGTTTGCAATAGCTAACATTCATTGAGATGGTATTGATGTACAATACCAGTTAACAGTGGAATTCTTCAAGTGTTTACTTACAAGTAAACTCCATAGATTTTAGTAGTTTTTATATATTAATGCACGTAGCGTAGCTTTAAAGCATCATTGGGCTGAGAAATACAAGGTTCATAACCTTGTTTTGATAGAACACTTGACTTGATGAACAATAGCTTCTGCTGAACGATGCTTCCCAGTATTGCCATAAGACAAAGCAGAGGGAAGATGTGGCTTCTAAAAGTTGCAAGAGTTGATGTTTGGTTTAAATACTTGGTATGTATAGATACTATTAAATGTGCTAATTTAATTGAAAATCAATACAAGATGCTTTTTATCGCCTGTTACTCTTTGCATACTTGTCTAGGCAGCATTCCTTACAGACTTTTAAAAAGCAGATCAGGTTTTTAAAAGGAAATGTGTATTTCATTTCCCCCCCCTGCTGTTTGTAACCCAATGATTAGAGATATCAAAGACAGTTTTTAAGAATGTGGCAGCAAACTTTCACTTTTACTTACACTAATTTTTTATAGTTCTGATATTTGGGAAATCAAAATAGGGTCTGTGCTTATGCACCAGCTGTGAGCCACGGAGCCATGGATTTTGGGTGCTGTTAGGGCTGTGGAATGGACGGCAAGCAGTTCCCACACAGTGTATACAAACCAGCGGGATGCTTTCTTGCACAAGCCCCACAGAAATGATGGGCCGTTGGCGAAGGGGGCCTGCCTAATGGATTGTATTCCATGTTAATCAGTGGAATGAGGAGGTTCTTCGATTTTTCTGCCTGGGGCACCAAAGTGTTCATGTTCTGATGACATGTAATTTTGATTCTCAAACCCATTCTTTGATGCCCAATGAGATTAGACTTCTTGCATATTACAGCAGCACATCTTCAGAAGAGATTACTTGTCAAAGAAATAGTAATTGTTAAAGCAATGTTAGATTGTTTCTTCCCTTCGATAGGCATCTGCTGGGACATGAAACTAATCAACCTAATAAACAAACAACAACTGGCCCATTTTGGCACAAGGAAGTGGGGCAGGAAATGACCCATATAAATTCTCCCTTTTTGCATACTAGAATAGCAACATGATGGTGATGGTGATGGTGATTTGTAATCCTGATTAATATTTTTTATTTTTTTTAACTGTACGGTTTTTACTCTTTCAAGGAAGCCAGCAGAATACAAAGAACGTAAAAGTAATTAATTTTTTTCCACTTCCACCCTGCCTTATTAGATGTTTTCTTTTCTTTGGCAGTATATCTCTGCGTTCTGACTGTTTTACTTGAAAATGGATATTCTATTCTTCAGGTTTCCTTGAAGGGCTTTTCAAACCTTTCCAGTAGAGCTGCCTCAACACAAAGAATTTTAAGACATGGATGAATAGAGGAAAATAGGAGGGAAGAGAAAGATACTAAAGTTCCCTACGTGGTTGAATAAGATCATCATTAAACACTGGAAAGGCTTCTACATGCTCCTGGCATTGATCAGTTAATAGCCTGGCCAGCAAGTATGGTTTATGGGTGCTGCTGAAATAGCGGTGTCAAATAGTTCCCTATGTTGGTAGCATTTACAATCACCAAACTGATATCCTATTCAGTATAAAATTGAAAGCTGTTTTTCACTTGGGCACAATTTCCACTGACGCTGTAACCTTTAATACTTTTTTGCATAAGGAATCCCCTCTAATCTATTTTTAAAGCTATTCATGTTTCTGTGGCTCACTTCAAACCTAATCCTTCTGATTTCCTTGCAGAAAACATGCTCTAAACTGTCACAGAATGAAACCTGCACTTTTTAATGTCTTGTGTGAAATTAAAGAAAAAACAGGTAAGGAGAAATTCTGTTATTTCCTTGTATCTTTTCCCCTCCTTTTAATGTATAGCTCTGCAAACTTATTTCATTCCAAAAATATATTTAAATGTAAAGGAAGCAGTTTTTCACCTTTGGTATTGCATTGTCCTAATATACTTATTTTTAAATGGGGCAAATAGAATGTGATTTATGTGATACTGTGTCTGTGTGTAAGGCAGAAACAGAGATAAAGAGGGTCAGGAATACTTCTTGTGTCATTTATGTCTTAACACTTTTCTAAAATTTACATTAAGTTTAAAAGAGTCCAGAAGTGGCTATATTATTGTAATTTATAATCTACTCAAACAGAAATATTTTTCTTGTTATGGTGCTTTAAAAAGTCATTGAAAAATGCATGGTTTGTGTATGAATAAATATAACTTTAATTTTGGCATATGCAAGACCAGGGAAAACCTATGCCAATGCAAACATACAAATATGTATTGGGGAGCAGCCTTTTCAATGATTGTTTCTCTGGGTTACCTTATTTTAAATTATATTTCTTGGTTTCAAGTGTTAATGACATGAAAATACTCATTCTGTGTTTCCCACCTCGCAGGCCTCCTGCCATGCGCTAATACACTTATAAAATGTCTCAGGGGGGCATTTAAATTTTAAAAGCAACAATTAAAAATAGCTGTCATCAATCAAGGGTGATCTTAAACAGCAGATGCTCAGAGAACAATGTTCAGTGACATCCGATACTTATTTATTTCAACTTCCAAATGTTTTTCTTTATGGAAAAGAGAGATTTGTCTTCTGCCTTAGCTCACAGGAAAAAGCAAGAGTGTAAGCTGTTGCCGAGTTTCAGCTCCTGGGTCAGATGCTCAGTTGTGGAGTGTTGCAAACTGCCTCCTGTTTCTTTCCCCTCTGTTTTTTCTCTTTTTTCAACAAGGATGTAACAGTCAGTAATTCAGATCTCAATCAAATAAGTAAAAGGTCTGACATGAAGGAAAGTGACAACAAATATGATTGTAAACTCACTTGATATACATTGAAAAGTGATGCATTAAAGAAAAGAGTGCAATATTTCAGAAAACCTGAATTCTTGCGTCTCTGAAACTGTGTGTGTATATTCTGCATCGTGTGAACAGCTGAGTGAAATGGGATTATTTGACTCCAGCAATCTATATACGATGACTAAGGAGATCCTTTGTTAAATCTTATTTGTGCAGCTAGTAACCTAGACAAAGCACCTAGCATTGGCATTCAAGCCTCTGAAGCCCTTAAGGCTGCAGAGCTGAAGGCTGACCTTCTTGAGGAGCCATTCATTATGTGTCTCCTGTAATATAATGTAAAGGGGTCCCTACAGTCTCACTTAATGGGATGTAATGCAGCTTGAATAAATATGTAAGTGTAGGAAGAACAACATCTGACCCTTACCAGGTTGCATTTTCTTTTACTATTAGTCCTTCCTGTCCTTTCTCTTTACAAGGGTGAACAAACCTGATCTTGGTTTGTGTTTTGAAGCTCCAGTATAATCCATTTCCTGGGACTCTTTTTTAATCTCTTCTTTGTCACAGTCTTTAATTGATTTGTGTCCTGAATGCAAATGGATGTAGTTCGAAGTTGTAGCAGATGGTTGGTGAGAATACAACTTTTTTTTTTTTAATTTCCCGTCTTCTCTCAAAAGTCTAATAGCTGGTGTGAGATGAGCAAACCTGAGTTGTCCTACCACTGGTTCATTCCAGTTGCATTATTAGCCAGACAGTGAATATTGAGAACTGAGGGCCACTCTGAAAATGTTATTGCCAAAAGCAATGTAACTAATTTTTAACTTCTGTACGATCTGACAAAAGGTGGAACCATTTAATCCTGCAAACAAATATAAAGAGTTTGGTAGTTGTTTTTTTTTAATCTGATAACTTGTGATATATTTGTGCTTACTTTATCATATTCTCAAGTATTACTTGTTGAAATGTGGGGACAGGAAGTTTGATAGGGGGAATTGTAATAAACAGAACTATTAAAATCCTGTCTCTGCAAAAATGTTGATGAGAAGATTATGAACTGCCCATCCATGTGCTATAGGATAATGTGAGGGAATGCAAACCCATATTTATATATGTATATTTTTTATCTTACTGCTCATATGTGTGTATTTTGTTGACTCCTGGGCTTGCTTTTGCAACCAATATGGATGCTAACATGCAGGCATGTGATGATTTCCAAAACAGTGAAGTCTAAGAGAGGATTTACTATGTACCTGAGCACTTTGACTGGTCTGGGGAACTGGAATTGTGGGGTACAGTACTGGTCCCGGGAGTATTTCAGGCAGATATATTATTTTTGTCCCATATACTTTCTACCAAATTATATATAGTAATTGAAAGCATATCTTCTAGCTTTCAGTATTCTGGCCATGAGCAAAAATTATGTGACAAGCTCCTGGCCATTTCCAACCTGTTTAGTTTTTAGTAAATTTATTTTCAGCACACTATTTTATTTTTCTTCCTGTAATGTGTCTGTGCTATTAGAACATTTCTGGCTATGGTTTATGATAATTTCAATTTAAATTACCCAGGGTTTAAAAGAAGTGGATTTGATTCTTCGAGACAGAAATTTCTTAAGTTTCCTGGCCTGGGAATGAATACACAGGACAATATAGGGGAATACTGCAACTAGCACATCTTCTTTCAGTGAAGTTTAAATGGGTAATATCTTGCCAGATTAAAATATAACTTTGTTGATACGGTTTTCAGCTAATGTTTTTTCTGTATCTATCTCTTCTCAACCCTGGAGTTCCGGGATACTGAAATTGGAATTCACTCTATTACTGTTTTTAAGTGACTCTAGAGTATGCCAAAAATTATACCACCATTCCTTATAACAGTGCAGCTAATATTTCATGGTGTTAACATTGCCAGAATAAACTCAAAGTGTCTATAAAGTTTTTAGAGAGCAGATTGTCTTTACTGGCCAAAATTTTCCCTTACCTGCTGTCATTTCAATTTATTTTAAAGGAGTTATGGATACTTTTTATATAAGCTTGGTTGTCATGAATCATTGATGTATAATGCTGTGAGTTGTATGAAATCTTAACATGTTTGTTTTTTCAAAAATGATAAAAGACAAGATTTAATATTGATGTATCACGAGGGAAATTATATTGCATCTCCATATTATTTGTCTAGATTCAGCTTGCACTTCATGGGTAGAGGGAAAGTAATGATTAATTGATTGTTTCATATTTTACTATTGAGTAAGATAAATGTAATAGATTTCACAATTACTAGAATTTTAACACAGGAGTTGTTATGGAAAGCATGATAAGTTGTACCGTATGTGAGGGAAAGGAAGTTCTTGCTTGCAGGATCAGAATGCCTGAAAAGAAGGAGAGTTGGTATCCCCAGAATAAGAAATATTGGGGGTTAAAAGGCATCAGTCTTTCTTTCTTTCAGCAGCAGCCTTTCCTTTGGAGTAGAGAGGAAATAGACCAGTGGTGGATTATCAGACTTATTGTATGGCTTCTTTCATTCTTTCCTGTGAATGCTTTTGAGTATTTCATTTTATAGTCTAAAAACAATTGAGAGAAGAAAGTATGAATGTTCCCCTGAGTTCTTAAAATTGCCTTAAATGCATATTTGTTTAAAATATTACTATCCTGCAAGAATTAAATATTTTTAAAAATGTCAAACAGTAACATCATGAAGTATGAAATATGCATTAAGCCATTATCCAGTGTTAGAAATAGCAGTGAAACCAGTTAAAGCAACTTTAACGATAGGTTAAAATTTACTTTTTCAAAAGAAGCCAGTCATAATCCAGAAAGAAACGTGTTTCACAACATACAACCTCCCGCCCCCGTTTTCATGAATACTATGCTGCATGAGTAGATTGCTCCAAATCATGGCATTTGGAATAGGCTTCCCATACAGAGCCTAATAACTAGATTGGTTCATAAAGGAATGAAGTGGTCCCATGGATAGTTGGGATTTAAGTTTTAAAGGTTAAAACTAACATGTTAAATTAAGTTGGAAAATAAAAATGAACAACCAATGCCCAGAATTTAATTTTAGAGCCAAGGTGCTAAATTTTGCTCCAACTAAAGTTTCCAGCATTTTTCAAGAGTAGGCTTTTTCAACAGTGGTTTTAGAAGAAGAAAGCCTGTGTACATTACAGTATTTTAGATGCTAATTTAAACTGTGTCTATTTGTACAGACATTTTAATTGATTTCATCCCTTAGTCCGTCTAGATTTTATTATGATTGCCAAGTGTTTTATTGAATTGTGTTAGTTTTTTAGTAATTTATTATCTATATTCTACACTATCTTGGAATCTGAATGGATGAAGGGTGGCATAAAAAGGATTGTTATTGTTACTGTAAAACTAAAAAATGAACTGAACTAGAAACTGATTTTTTGGGATCTTTAAATGGGAAAAACAAAAAGTAAAAGTTCTAATCTGTGATAGTGAATGACAACAGTAGCCATTGATGATCAGATTGACAATTTGGCTTCCACATAATCTCTAGATAATGTTTATATGCACTTGTGCAGTATGACTGAGAATTAAATTTGCACTATGAAAGTGTAGCTTTGAAATAGCTGAAGTTAGTTGAGAAGGTGTTCCTCAAATTATTGTTCATCGAGAGAGGAACTTTAGCATTACCTACATCCTCCTTTCACAAAGACATATTTAGTCTAGATACATTACTCAGGGCAGGCAGATGTTTGGTGTCATGCAGCAAATCGTTGGTTCTTTATTTTTTACTTGTTTACTTACAGTGAGGTGCTAAAATAGCTTAACTGCTATTGATTCTGGGGCAGTAAGATGTTTTGGGCCTTGACCATAAACTGCAACCCTTCCTTTATTTTGGTTGTCTGAATCAGTAGCAGAACATACCAATGATTTCCTCAGATCAGGGTTTCTCTTCCTTTTCTCTTTGGGAGAAGTAAACCTACTTACTTTATTTGGAGCTACTTGAGATGAAAGAAGGGATAGGCAGGCAAGCTTTGTGCTGGTAAGGGATCAC